ATTGGTCTCGTCGATACCTATCGATTGCCACGCCCACTCTAACGCCCATAACGCTTAAATCTGTATACCGCCGGTAGGTGGCGCATGTCAATCTCGCTTTGCTGCTTGCATATCTCCATATAGCTGAGTAACGGGTATCTGATAGTCGAGGTACTCGACTATAGCGTTCTTCCTTGTTTTTTTTTGGTTTTACCAATTTGCGCTGGTCAGTTTTTGTAGAATCGCTATCGTCTCTGTAATCTTTTTGATATGCGAAACGACAATCGTATAATTTATTTTTAGCTCCTTATTGGCACTGTTTTTCCTTATCTCATTCGGAGTTTCTTTGCCTTGTCATTCATTCTGTTTGTATTTTAACCCTCTACTTGGCTCATGTGATTCGCATGGTTTATTGTTGCTGCGCCTATTTGCATGCTCAACAATTTGCTATTCTCAAAGACGTGCAAACAGAGACGGATAAAAGTTGGCCAAAAGAAGTTTTCCATCTCGAAAGTTTTGCCGTCGTGTTTACTTGAAGCAATGAACTGCAGCTAAGTGGATGGCAAGTGTTTATATTTGCCAAAAATTAAATTAATTTTTTGGGCCCAAACGGAGGTTGGATGACAAAGCAGTTAATGAATGAATGCCTTGTAATATTTATTTGTTTTGGCCATTAACGTGGGCCCAAAAGATACCAGGAAATATATGTGCTTTAAGCCCAAAGCTAAGCCGGAAAAGTTTTTCCCCTCAAAAAAAAGAAGACGGGAATGGGGTTCTACTGGCGACATGCAATGAATATCAACAGATTTTTATGAGCCACACATGTTTAACTCGCATGCTGTCTCTTTCTATTCCCCTGTGGCCATCTCTCTCTCGCTTTCTTTCTGGTTTTTCTTTGGTTTTTCCACCCTCTGGTGAAGAAGTAGCGAATACCCCGACTGTCCATGACAGAGATAATGATTAGTGTGATGTGCATAATAATCATTCTCATATTCCACGATTAGTTTCCAATTCATATGCGTCTGCCTCGATTATCTATCTCTTTCTATCCCTTTCTTCCCACTCGCTTACGCACACATCTCCATTTTTTTTGGCTTCTTGGCCACTTTTCCACCTTGAACGCGTCTTGTGTCTCGTGTACAGGGAAATGTCTTTAAAATGATCTATAGATAGATATTTAATTTCATAGGTATTAAAAAAAAAATGTTTTTAAATTTTTCTCACTATTCCTATAATATAATATATATAATTCTTTTAGTCGATGGTAACCGATCACACTTTAAAACATTTTATAAAAGGTTTAATTAAAGATAAAAGATACTTTTTATGAATGAGTGATTTATATCAAATACCTTATTCCGAATAAGTTCTGTCAAGTGTAGCTTCACTGTACATAGTTCCATCGTCATGTTGTTGTTATTTTTCGTCGGGCTAACCGGCAGCAGAAATATTACCACGTAAATTATTAATCAGCCGAATGGGCCAAACCCCCCCTGCCATCCAAAAACCCTGCGTAGCATAAGTTTCCGTCGATTTGTCTGTTACTTAACATGCATAAAATGTTTCCATGAATACATCAAAATATTTTCGCTTTGGCAGCAGCGACTGCCAGAAGAGAAGCATTAACCATGGCCCCCAACCTGCTGCTTTTGGCCATTGGCTTAAGCTGGAAAGTGTCGTCTTGTCTGCTTGGCGATTCCGACTGCGAGCGCATATTGTGCCTGTTTTTTGAGCAATTTGCTTTGTGATTTTATGCACTTTATGATTTCCTTAATGGCACAGTCGGTCGAAGACGGTCGCCAGTAGCCAGTTACGAGTTGAGTAGGTGGCTTCCAGCGGTCTGTATCTGTGAGATACGTACTTAAAGTGCTGTTATTGATGGCTAATATGGACAAGCGCCTCGTTGGAGTCACAGATTGCTAGCTGGTTTATAGACAGACAAGGGATTATATATTTTCTCAGGGTTTTGTTTGTTTGTTTTTCAAGAAGATTGAAGATCTTTTCAAGTTTTTATAGTTTTGTAAAGGCCTATAATGATTTAATACTATACAGAAACATATTAGCATAAAATCGAAATAAAAATACTATGATTAGTAGGTGGAAGTAGCCTCATTTTAAGATGATTAAATGCTTTTTAAGAACTATATGAAATATACTATTCTAGCAATGTATCAGTTTTATAAATATTTAAACTGCGGAAATCAAGAGAAAAATTTGCCCATTTACTAGAGCATTTAATGTTGTCAAGCTTCATAAGTTAACTTTTAAATGTGCGATATTATGTTTGAATGTGATATATTAAAAGACATTCCTAGCTTAAAAATGTACAGGCCTATTCAAAATCTTTAAACTAAAGACTAATTTAAGTTTTTCAATATTCTGATTAGAACTTCAGTATCTACCTCTGAGTGGTGACATATTAAGTTCCGGATCAACGGCTTGATAAATTCAAGATCTTCCTCTATCCCGAACTTACACGACCCTCGACTGCACTTAATCTGCAAGTCTGTCGCCGTAATTGTTTCTCCCGAAACTCCAGAGAGTGCTCTAAATGCAGTGCCCCAAAGGTGGGCAGCCACAGCCACAGACACAGACACACCTGTAATTAAGGCCAGGTGGACTTTGGAGCCCTACAAGTGACGGTGTGCCCCATCCTGACCAACGCAAACACAGACCGACAAACATAAATTTCCATTACAATTGCACAAACGTCACATTAGACGCTATCAAAGCGCAATTTGCAGCGTCTACTAAATCAATAAGCCAAACTTGGCAACCTAACGGATACGCACATTAGCATGCACATGTGTATTTGGGCAAAAGCACTTTGCATGCAAGCCGTCCTGCAAACATAATAAATTGTAACGCGCTTTACATTAACATTTACATAATCGCAATTAATCGACAACATTTCGGGCCGTATGCGTTGGAGATCCCGCTCGAATCCCGTCGCCAGTTTATGCTCCAATCAATATTAATAACGATTGCACTGGGCGCCCCATTTAGGCCTAGGGCCCCGTTCCTTACTCCCCACTTCCCTTTCTAACCCAAACTCCCCCTCATACCAACGATAATGGACAATTTGCCGCTCCTAACTTGGCCCGAACTTCGGGTAGAGCTTTTGGTGGCATAAACTGTGCCATTTACGGATTTGTGTGACTTCCGCCAGCCGTCGGCAGTTGGAGAACCGAGAACTGGGGGATTGGGAACCGGGAAATGGGGACTGCGAATCCGAGCTGAGAACTTAGAGGGGAGTCAAACGAAGAGCAAGATGTCAAATTGTCAACGCACCTTTGCCGTCTCATAATCTCTATGGGGGGTTATCTATGCACATGTGTTTAAGTACAGTCCCGATTCCCTAAAAGCAACTCAGGTATGACTGACTGGTGATATGTAGGAACTAGTAGGAATACTTATTTGATCAAAACTGGTACTCTATAAAGTTCTATTAAGTTTAGATAGATTTATATTCATCAGCTCTTTTCTGAAATAAAGTGTAAACAATTATTTAAAAAACATGAGCATTAAAATTATATTTTTAAACATAAGGATTTGTTTACATATGGTTTAATATTAATAAATGTAAATGTTTGTTTATGAATAGTCTTGTTATACTTTTAAGAAACTCTTGCTTGTAAATTTATTTAAAATGTCTCATATTTAAGTTGTTATTATTATTTTACAAATTATTATAAATTATTGCATAATTATTCTTAAAGGGTTAAACAGAAGACAAAGGACCAATTCCCATGATGTATCCCTCTCTTGCCTTGCAGATATAACTTTTTGATTTAGGCAATTTTGGTTTATAGAATCCCGACTGTTGCTATGTTTCAGAGAGTGCTTGTTTGGATGGCTATTGTTGCTAGTTTATTTGCAATTATGCCAACTGCCAGCTGCCTGCATATTACACGCTTGTCATAACTCTGCTGGCAGGCGTATACGCAATGTGATTGTCAATTATTGTAGCAATATGGAGACCACCGAAGCACCACAGGAAGTGCATACATATTTCAGCAGGGCTTTTGGCCAGATTTGTCTAATTAGCCAAATGATCAAAATTGATTGTCATGGCCGGAACTAAATGTTAAACTGCTGTTAGCTAACATAGGAACTAATATCGTAGATGCATATAACAGTCTATGCGGAATACTTTCTTGATATTAATCACAAAAATTAAATAAATAATTTAGTAAAAATAAAACTTACATTAATGTTTTTTTTTTTAAGATAAAGTATTAAGTTATTTAAATGTAGCTAAACATTTTCCTTAAATTTCCGGCACATGAAAGAGAAAGTTTTTTCGAAGAGAATGAACAGATACTTTTCAAAGAGATACATTCTCGTTGCTCTCTTAACCGGCTACGTTCGTTTTCACGAACCAAAACGAACCACTGTTTCGTTAAAAGTATCTCGGCGCGCGCCTAACATTGTTTCGTCAAGTATTAACGGTGGCTGTGTTATGTTAAGTTGAAAACTATGTTGGCGCTAAGGAAATGGTCCTTTATTTTAAATATGTTTTGTGATAATTTCGAATAAAGTGGATGGGTTGACTTATAAACTCTATAACTAATTTGTTTTTTATGTTGTTATTTCTATGTTGGTACTTATCATACAATTTGCAGAACATCGCTTAAGAAATATGGTTTCCTTGATTTAAATAAATTGATAAAAGTTTAAAATTGTTACAGTTAGTTTTGACACGTAAAAGCAAACCTTAAAATGTGGATTTTAATATTGCATTTAAAGAATAAAATCTGATAAAATTGTTGCATTAGTTCTTATAAAGGAATAATTTCATATTTGGCTAGAAATAACCTTTTGTTAAAGAAAACCATACTGGGCACCCTCTACAATCTTGTTAAATTTTCAACAGCTTCGGTTTTCATCTCGCAATCCATCAGATGCATTTAACATTATGCTTAACATTCCGTTGCCGAGTGCAATTCTGTTATGGATAACAGTACTCTGCGTCTTAGGGCCTCTAACATATTTTGCTTTACAGGCGCATAACAGTCAAATTTAAGAAGTCGAAGCGGAAAGACGTGTTTTGCCCACGTCCACTTTTTGCCGGTTATTCGGAAAATCGCAATCGCAAACGCAGTTATCGCGGATGAATCTACACAATCGCATTGATAATTATTTTGGCCAAAAAAAAAATTAAAACACAGCGCAGATCCGAAAGATACGAAAAAAACCTCACGGATTGCGAATTTGTTTGAATGCCGTGGTTGCGTACGTGTGCGTGTGGGTATCTGTGTGAGAAGCGCGTGTAAACAAATGAAAAAAACGAAACGAGCGGTGTATCTTCGGCTCTGATAAGCTGACAAGTTTGATAAAAAGCCAACACATTGTTGTTAACAGCTCGGAAAACACAAGTGCTACTGCATAAAAAAAAAGAAAAGCACAACTTCCCCCCCACCCCTGCCTCTTAAAGGAAAACCAAACAAATTGCCGGCTAGTGGAAAACAAGTGAAATTCAAGATACAACTGTAAACACAGCGGAATTATAGGAAAATATACATAATATCGGCGATATCGCTGCAAATTAAAGCCGTGAAAAATTCGCTGAAAACAACAGCAACACAACAACAACAACAACAAGCAATTATGGTGTAAAGTATACGACTAAAATCTTATCGGTGTGCAATCGTTGTTGCTATTATTGTTCTATATGCTGGTTAGTTGAGTTGTTGTTTTTGCCTTAGCCGGCGTCGCGTCGGTGTTAGTGTGTCGGTGTGTTTGTGTGCAAACGAGTTTGCAAAAAAAAAAGGAAAAAAATATTGCAGTTACGGTGGCAAGTGTTGCAGATACTCCAACAGCAGCAACAGCAACAACAACAGCAAGTTAGCCAGGTATGATGGCCCGAAAGGAAAATGCAAGAAAATGCATACGGGGGAAAAAGCCAAAGGAAAAGACCGAAATTGAAAGCTCATTAACTTGGTAGTGCGAAGTGCGGCTTTGATTTACCGCTATCCGGTAGACAAGTGCAATTTTTAGCACGTCCGCTGTGAATCACAGCCCCCACCCCCTCTATTCATGAGTGCTATGAGTAATATAAGTCGAAAAAGAATCATACACAGGGGAAAAAATCATAACAACTTTTTTTTTATTCCATCTAAATAAAGGTATTATTATCAATGGGTCACTTAATCACTTAACTGTCAAACAATGATATGAGTTAGTGACATTTTTAGATATGTCAGGACTGGCAAGGCAGTAATAAATATTCAAATGACTAATAAATAACTAAAAAACATTAACAAGGAAACCAAATACAGAGCTCTTTCTATATATACAATGGAAGCTTTAAAATAAATAATAATATAGGAAGCTTTAAAATGCTATAAATCATGCGAAATTAAATTTATATAAAACATTTGAGTGGTTTTTAGAATAATATTATATCAGAACAACTCTTCTAGTATTAAATAAACAATTTTATTTAATATTTTCTTGAACCGCCTATGAATGATGGTTTTTTCAATATTATCAATCCGGTTTTTTTTTAGAACTGTGAGCTAATCTTTCTCCATGAATCACTCTAAAGAAAAATATAATATTTACAAAGAGCTAAAAAAACCAAAATAATGTCTTATATTTTACATACCAGTTATTCATGTTCCGCTTCTCTAGAAGTGTTTTGACAATATCATTTTGGCATAGCCCCGAAAACAATCCATTCGCTTATGACAACAACAAAAAAACCCAAGTGATAAAGTCTTTTATGACATTTTTCCTCTGTGCACTAACTTTTGCCCACACTCATCGCTCGCCACAGGCCAAAATCGAGACGTCTAATCGGTTCCGTTCCAGATTCTCGTACTGTGACTATTATTACAGCGAAATATTTTCAGCTGGCGATGCATTTGCAATTGCATTTGCATTTGCATCGATCGGATCACGTAGTCTGCTTCTGATTCACGCCAATGTCTGGATAGTATTCAATTTGAAATGCGGTTGACTCGACGGCGCCGCCACCAATAATCGTATAAATATGAATAGCCAAGGAAACACACACAATTATAGCGATGGGTGTATATATATTTGCTTCGGCGGATCGAACAGCACCAATGCACTTGTTCTGCGATTAATTCGAATCGCTTTCAGCTCGGCTTGCAGCCGTCTCCCCTTACACTTTCCATCGAATGTCAACAGAAATGGAGGGGCACAGGTTGTCATATAGATTGTGGATTGTATAGTGTATGGGGTTCTTGGTACACTAAATATTTACTGATAGCTTCACTTGCAATCCAATTACTCAGCGCTGAGTGTTCCTACAGATTGGCGTTAATAAATGGGGGGAGGGGGTGAAAATAGAGGAATGTGGTTAATACCCGCTAATGGTTTTCAAAATCACTCTCGCCTGCAGAAAAGACAAGACTTAGCCTTATTTATGGGTCCAGACCCAATTAAAGGGGATGCCACATGTGCCGGGGGCCGAAAATAAAGTGCCCCCGTCGAACTGTCGCCTTGATATATAATACATACGCGCTGGGGTCTTTATTAATATTTATTTGGCTGTACGAAAATAAAATAGAGAACATAAATAACGCTTTGTTTATAAACACACAAGCAGTGTGCCAACTAAAAATAAATGACGCGAACGAAACCAACACACAAAAATGAAAGGGAATTTCTTCTTTTGTTTTATCTGCCTTCCAGCCAGCAGTTTTCCATCTTCTTCCGGCTCGGATTTGGATTTGCTTGTTGTCTTGCTGGTCAATTTGTGTAAAATGGTGAATAGGAAGGAAGTCTCTTGACAGAATTTCCGAACTTCCTTTTGCGGTGGCATAACGTGCATATAGCCTGCCAACAGGTACAAATCCGTAGAAACATTTTTGCCGTAATATGAATTAATTGCTGGCAACCGCAAAGAAGCCGCAGGAAAATGTCGAACTCCATCCCTCCTTAAATATTTAACCCCAAAATTGTGGCTGTGCACGGATAGAAAAAGTTTTTGAGCACTTGTATCAAGTGAGTGGCAAAAATCAATAGAAATTTAAGTCTATTTATGTGTATGTGTCTGAAAATTTAAGTCATTTAAATGATGCAAACAAATTTTTGGCATGTTCTTGTAAAGCAATCAATTGAATTTCTTAGACATCTCACAACATTGGTACTTTATTTTACAAATCCCTTTTTTTTTCCTTGTGTAATATGATGTGGGGGCTCGTGTGTCGAATTTGGTTTTGGGACTTTGTTGCCTGTTTTCAATGTTTTCAATGTCAATCCGCGTGTAACCGCAACAGCAGAAAATTAAATGGGATTTTCTAATTGAGAATGCGTGCGCCTGCCATTCCTAGAGGAAAATTCCCACTCGAATTGGAATGTAAACAAAATGCGATATAAAAATAGACAGGCCACGAACATTTCCCCTTTCATTTTTGGTTGCTTTTGCTCTGGAGCAATTCACGTGTGAAATGAACAAAGTGTTGATTTGTTTCTGGGCTATGTGCCATATATGTATGCTATATGCTACTAGGGGTACGAATGCGAGTACGAGTATATGTGGGTGACTGAACGATGGAGGATGGGAGATAATACGAGCAGGAAATAATACAATGTGAGAAGAGCTTGTCCCCTTTTGCGTAGGAGCAGGCAAATCAAGTTCGGGGAATGAAATTCATTTCATTTCAGTTCGTGTTGCTGTTGCCATGTCATTGTGCACAGGAAGAAAATGAGTGAAAGAGATGAAGAAAATGCATCTGGAAATGGCTAATTCTTGAAATTTGACTTGGACTTTGTTAATTAACATTCAAATTTTAAATCCAGCTGAATAAGCCTAGAAAAACTGCCCCGGCAGATTTAGAAAAATGTTGAACGGGAAAAGGTAGTTAAAAACTCAATAGATATGAACTCCGATTATTATATATTTTGAGCCAATGGCTTACGAAAAATCTTCCGCAACATGATAACTTATCTTTTGATATATCTTCTGTTATTGAAGCTCACTTAAAACCTACTGCCACTTTTCTATCTAAATAAAGTTCGTTCCGATCAATTCTTCAGCTTAGTTTGTATGGTATTATATAAGATCATAATTACTACTATGCCTTTTTCTCTGTGTGGCTATCCCCAAGCCGAAGAAATGGAAGATGAAAAGCAGATACAAAATCTCACAAATGCAGGCAAAGACCCGTTGGACTGCAGATGACGTTTTCACTGTCTATTGTTGTTGCAGCCACCGATGTTGCTCCGGTGTCTGCTGATGTTGCTGCTGTTGGTGTTGCTGTTGCTGTCGGCTGGGTGAATCCGAGTCCAAGTCGCAAGTCTGACTGTCCGTTAAGGTCGTTGCGATGTGGTTCTGTTTCTGTTTCTGATGGGCAGCAGCAACAACAATCAGCAGCAGCAGCAGCAGCAACAGCAACACCAGCGACAGCAACAACATTTGTGATCCCGCGCTTTCTTAGCGCTTAAAATTCCGTTTCGAAAATGGAAAACAAAACAAAAACAAACTGCTCGAGACTCCGACTCCAAATGCGACTCCAAACTCGCAGCCAAATCAACTTGAGCGCTGAAGTGGCCACGCAGCAGCAACATCGCCAGCCAGCAACAGCAGCAACATGATGGAAAAAGAAGGAGACAACCAGAAAATAAAAAAGAAAAAAATTAAAATTAAAACGCACGTAGGCAGAAGAAGGAAGAATCGGGGGAAGTTAACGTTGTTGTCTGCCCTCGTGGCGCGTTAAGTTGTTGATTGAAGGGTATTTGAGTAAAGTATCTTTACGTGTGTCTGCCATGGATGTTGCTGTTGCTGCTGTTGCTGTTGCTGTTGCTGCTGCTGGTGCAATCATAAATGCAGCTGGGCGGAGTGGCAATAGAGATTCTTTGGGGGAGAAAAGTCTGGCTTATGTGGGTTTTTTTGGTTTTTCGGTCTGCTTGTGGGCTGGGATTTTATTATTGCCTTTGCCGCCTTGCCCCCGGCAAACTTAATGAGCAGCTGTACCAGAGCACGCTCCTTTATTTGATTTTACTTGAGCGATAACGTGGGGGAAACTGGGTTACCAGTTAATTAGACCAAACAGCCATTCCCGGCCAGACGCCGAACGCCAAACGCAAAACTCAAAGTTCAATATGAAAAGCGTATCGAGTTTCAAGCGAAATGCGAAACGGCCATCCGCTCATTTCATGCTCAGCCAAACCCTTTGGACAAGGGCCAAAAACATACCAGACTGGACCCAAAAACTGTACCCCCAGACGTTACTTTTTGTTTCGTTTCGTTTCGCTGCCCCTCTACCATTTTATACAGTTTTTTGTTTTTTTTTTTATTTTATACTATATATACATATAATACAAACTTGTAAAAACGTCAAGCGATAAAAATGTTCGATAATCAAAATGAAAACGACCGCCAGGGGATCGGAGCGGGGGGCGATTGGATGGCTAACAATAAAACAGGAAGAGTTCAGGGCGCAGGACAAGTGTGTGAAAGGTTCGGGATGAAAATGCCTTCGAATGCTGCTGGAAAATCAATAAGCCATGCTTATTGTCAAAGACCAGGGAACAGGCCAACAAAGCGAACGGAATAGACCAGAACAGAAATGATATGGCAGACACACAGAGACACAGACAGAGGCAGGGACACATGGGGCAGAGTCAAGAACATAAAAATGCCATTGACTGTGGCCCATCGTCTGTGATTGTGATAGGGAGAGGGCTGCACATAGAGAAATAGATAGGATGTAGTCCTTAAAATTAAAGAGCAGATATTAGAACAAGAGCAGCTGAATAGATATATTACCACCAGTTTTCGAAAGGATATATTCCAAATGCTCCATCCAGCACAGTTTCTTTTTTAAATTATCATATTATATACATCATATCATTATCGTATAAATCATTATATTATAATGATTATATCATAATCACAGTATATGTTGTTTATAGATAACACCTGATATGTTTTATAAAACGTAAGCTGCATTTTTTAAAAACTATTTTTGGAGTCGGTTATGGTTTTCAATAGATAATCTATTTTTAATAAATTTTAAAATCCACAATCCTAGATTTTCCCCTTGTGCATAACTGAAAGAAAAGATATAGCTTCCAGTCTGCTTTTTCCATCATCGGCGACACCCGTTGGCTCCCCACATAATTCTCCCACTGCCGGCTGAGTAATGAAAGTTGCTTTTACCCGGGCCAACACAAATGCATTGCAAAGTTCTAATTTGGCCAGAAAAAGAGAGGGAAACCGCTGCCGCATGCAGCAACAAAAACAAAACTGTACCAAAAAAAAAAAAGTAATACAAAAACCAACGCTGAAAAACAAAATACAAGAAAGAAAAGAAGTCAAAAGCGCACACGGACGGTCAACGAATTTGGGTTCGGCTTTGGTGGTTCTTTTTCAGTTAACACGAAAACGTTGTGAAAGAGCCCGGCTCAAACAACAACAAGAAACAGGTAGTAAAAATCGACAACAGACCGGGTTTACACAGCTCTATGTGTGTGTGTGTGTGTGTGGTGGAAGGAAGAGTGAATGGTGGTGAGGAGTGAGGGACAACGCTTAGAAATTAAAGAAAAACACAGGCTGAGGCCGAACTGTGGCCGAAAACCCTGGTCCGTGGCTCAAAACCGAGCCCCTGTTGACTATCATAATAATAAAATTCGAACCCAACACCGACGAATGCATGGTATATACAGTATACGTGTGTTTCAAATTGGGGTTACTGACCCAAAACTGTGTTTTGATAGTGAAAAAGTGTTGAGCTTGGCTAAAACGATCCGAAACCGATATGAAAATGTACATAAGGCCAGAGAAGCGGGTATAGTCAGCTAGCTGGGAAAATGAACTTTGCATAGTTCCAAAAAAGTCTTTAAAAAAAAACCACAGAGAATTAATAATTCTCGAGCTGATGAGTCGGCGAAAATGTTTGGGAAAGGGGTACTACGAAAATGGAGCGAATTGCCTAAAACATAATTGGGGCTAAACAACAACTATAGCAAACACTATGATTAATGTTTATATTTGCACTTTTTTTTATTTACAGAAACCAACACACACAACCAGCCACAAAAATATTGAGAAATGCATTCATAAATGAATCGAGATAAATTAAATCCAAATGAAAGTGCTGAAATTAAATAAATTTTAGGTAAATAAGAAACCACAAATACCACAATTAAATAACGAGCGTGTGCAAGTGTAGATCAATACATATTAGCTATATATTAACCATATATATAGGCCGTTAAAAACCAGCGCGAGTGCTAAAATGCTGTCCCCCGCAGCATTGGTCATCGTCGGGATGCATAAATCTCTTTGAAATCAAAATTAAACCAATCAAAATATATATCTGTCTGTCTAAGTAACCAACCAGCGTAGTAAATCAAATCAAAATCACATCAAAACCAATCTCAAATTGTTGACCGATCAACAGTTTGAGTAAATATTTTCTTCGACCCCATCAGACATTAAGCAACGGCCTCAAAACGGAGTCCCTAGAGTTTTTGCCGTGCGAGGAAGAGGATTTCGAGATGGATATCCTACCGAGTGGCAATATCTTCAACGAGTTGGAGCGGATCTGCACCACCGGCTATTTCTCGTCACAGCCGTCGATTGAGGATCAATGGCAACAGGTTTGTAGATATATGAGTTAAAAATATTATAATGATAAAGAAAATTTAAAGATTGGTTTTAGTATGAAAATTACTAACTGATATTTAACAGATTTGATTAAAATCTACACATAAATATGGTTCACCCTAATAACCTACTGAATCCCAATCCTTAAGATATGTATTATGTTAATTCCTTAAAAATATTCCCATTCGCCGGATATACTCTGAAACTTTTCAAAACTTTTCTATAAATATGATGTGACCCCTATTTGATTTTAAATTTTTTTTGGGTATTCCTATTGTGTCTGTGGCTTTTAAACCCATAAACATAAATCAAATTTCTTCCCTTTCCACTTTCCTCTATAATTTTTCCTCCAGTTGACGTCACCCCTTAGTTTTGTTCGATATTTATTTAGCATTTAGGCATTTATCATAGACTCAACTGCTTAGGCCAGTCAGCGGTATTTTATCGAAGCATTAACCGACTTTATGCGGACTTCCTTCGAAGGCATTGCGCAATATTCGATCGGGAATCTAAAGTATTCCCCCCCATCCACCACATAGCATGAAAGCAATTCTTTTTGTGCCCGATCTTTTGTTTGTTTCTCTGGACTGGCCAATAAAAAAATGAATGAACAGAAAGCGTTTCAAGGTCCCACACTCTTGAATTTACCTGAACGAGCGTGTGCTAAAATTAAATTGCTAAAAATTATAAACTCTTGATAAGCGAAACTGTGTGTGCGCATGCTAAGCGTATATGCGAAAATACGTATGGCTGATACATATAGGGTATATATGGGGTATACTATATGTGTGCAAAAAGCGAGCAAGAGGAAGAGCCAAATAAATAGATGCCGGCCCATAAATAAGTAAAATTCGCCAGCAGTCAGCGACCAGAGTCGGTTATCATCTGAGGGCATGCACAATATATATACTAAATACATAGCATGTATACTTATACTTTTTGCGAATTTTTTCGCACACTTAATATGCATATGTCTGTGTGTGTGTATCTGTGTTTTGTTTGTGAGGTTTTTCCTTCTCTGTTTGGTTTTTATTTATTTATTCTTTACTTTTTTTTTGGCTTTTTGGACGCTCTGATAAAACGAATCGAAGCCGCCGCCAGCTGATTGCAGACAGCTTTGTTGGCTGGCTTTTTTTTTGTATTCTGTTGTTTTGCTTTTCGTTGTATTATTGTTAAGAAATGCCAGGGGCAAATTCTGGTTGGTCTGGTGTTATCAAAAACCTGACGCATAAGAAGATTGTGTTTCGGTCTCGGTGTCGCTTTCAGTTTCTTGGCTCTTTTTTATTTCATATATTTTGTTTGCCCATCAAACGCAAAGTCGTAATTCATTCGGCGAGGGAAATCTGCGATAACACGGAGGGTTCTTCGCCAGAGGCTGCTCCTTGAACCTACCACCTTGTATGCTGTATCTTAAATCTCATACCAATCCATCCCAATCTACTGGCTACCGTTTGAGGTTCGCACCAATTTAAAGATACTTTTCACACCTCCAGTTTATTTGTTTAGTACATATATACACACACAACACTTGGCTCTGTTGTCTGTTGATTTATTTTATTCGTTTGCTGCATGCCTCAATTGAAACCTCAACTAGTGCCAGCCAAAATTCTAGGAATGTGCCAAAAAATAGATTTGCCAAATCAAAATATTCAAATGTATTCCCCATGCGAATGTTAAACTAAAATTAGCAATTCGCTTCGATTTTCAGCTGGCCTTCAACTTTAACTGTTTGCCGCAAAACACACAAGCATTCGGGGAAATATCTGAAGTCAAATTTGGTTTAAGTATTATTACCGTCCAGAGCCAAAAGCCAAGAGCCAAATAAAATAAACTAATCTTATCGTCTGCTAAATTTGGTGCTGTTGTACACGAATTTCACCGAATTTAAATTCCTTTTGGCCAAGAAAATTGGCGCTGTGTTTGCAGCACACGGCGGCAATTAAGTCAAAGTTCCCATTCGAGTTCGCCTCTCAGTCTGAGTTCTGAATTCTCCGTCTGAATTGCGAGTCGCAGTTGAAGACGCAATGCACTCGTTTCATTTGCACAACTTAAAAACTTTTAATTGAACTCGAGTACACATTTTTGCATAACTTTTCGTATTTTGTATTGCCGTCGACGTCGTTGGGGGTTGACGTTTTTTGGTCTTTGCTCTGCTCCGTTGGATTTTAGTACTTTTGCATACCCTTAAAAATAAATGGAATCATATTGTTAAAAAAAAGGGGATATCGAATTTTTATGACCGAAAACTCTTAAATTTTTAGTTTATTTATATGTCGCCAATATCAAATATCACACAAATAACTATTTTGTTATATCAAAGCTTTGATTTGTGAGACCTTTAAAGAATAGTTTCGTATTGCATTTTATTCGGATAATAATTTTTCATTCAAATAATTTAAAATACATTTGAAAGTATGATTGAAAAAAAAAACTTCCTCTACTTTTTAGTTAACTTTAAAGCCATTAATTTCATTTTCACAAAATTATTGCCTGATAATAATATAAGCTAACTAAGCATTTCCAAATATTTTTTATCAGGAACAAGATAGTGTATTTACATATATATTTTTGAGCACTTTAGAGCATTTACAAATTCGTTTTTACCCTGCTTGAATCAGTTAACCGTTTTATTTCTTCGGTTAAATTTGATTCGGGGCTAAAAACTTTAAATTGCAGCATTTAATAAAAGTTTCGGCGGGACTTGGCAGGTGGTTGGGGGGCAGAAAGGAGCCGCATTTCAAATCGGAACTTTCTCTACCCGACCTTTCACCCAGCCCACAGCTTTCAATCTCCTCCCTCATTGTATCTCTATCTGTATCTGTATCTGTTTTGGTGCCTTTTGTAATTAGAACTTGCGGATGTTTTGTTTATTTCCGTTGACTTCCGCCTGCTTCCGATGCGGCGGCTGCGTTTTGCTGCTGCTTATTGTTTTATTGTAATTGTTATGGATGGGACTGTTATGTTATGGTTATGATGCGTAATTCGGTTCGCCAGTCATTCAGTCAGTCAGTCATTCAGTCAGTCGGTCGAACACTTGAGGCTTCTCATTTGAACAGCTGCTGGATCACAATTGCTCCGCCGATGGCAGTGGCAAAAACAAACAACACTATGCCGCATCTGCATACGTATTATATATGAATTTACATACTCGGATGTATCTGTATCTGTGTATCTCTATCTATTTCTTGAGCTCTCTGTGCATGTTTATCTAAGCTGTGAAATTATGCTGCACACTCAAAACAAATTTGAAAGCGCAGAGAAAGCAGAAATATGCTAGCAAAAATAAACAGAAGGGAAAGGGTTGGGTTTGGTATTTGGTTTTTACTCTTAATTTATTTCATACGCTGCAGATTGATTTCGATTCGGTCGGAATGTGTTATTCTTTCATTTCTGTATAAACATCAGAACAAAAACTGGATTTTCCTTTTGTTTCCATGCGTGTGAAAATAGATTGGAAGGGGGGTGGAATGGTCGAATGCTATACAACTCTGCCAATCTATTTGCGATTAATTTCATTTATAGAATTTGGCGATTTGCATGTTGTTATAGAATATTGGTTTTAATTCAAGCGTCTAAGCGGATTCGATTGGATTTTCGTTCAGTTATCAATGTCCATTGATGTGGCTTTATCGCAACGCCACATTTGCCACATTTTGAAGCGATTACCCGACTGCGGTTGCCATTTAATGTATTTAAATTATTTCAAATTAAGCCGCTTTGTCTATGTATGTGCAAAATAAAAATCGGTTTATGTATTACATTATTTTATATCCGTACTTGTTTTTGTTTCTGCACGTGGCTGAAGTGCCGAAATCAGCGACGACTACCTTTTGCCGCCACACAGACAATATGCAATCAGCAGTTAACATTTAGCACACGCAAAAACGTAACAAACAAAACCCAAAAAAGGCACGTACACACACACACACGCACAGTCGTGCGAAAAAGAGTGGCAAAAAATGAGGGAACGGCAAAAAAGTGAAAAGAAAATGCCCCCGAAAACGATGCTGCCATTGGGAAATTCATGAAGACAGATGCACAAACACACGTAGACTTACACCTAATAAGCCAAAAGCAGAGCGACACACTCACACACACCCACTTCATTGATTGCACTGAGAGAAATGGCCTTGCATAAAGAAATGGTACTCAGAAATGTGGTTTCGGTCCTCAATAGATTGATAAATTCATTATACATTTTTAAAAACAATATATTGATACGAAAATTTTAACAAATATTTTGATACATTCATTTATGAAATCCTATCAATTAGTAAGTTTTTTCAATCATTTTCAAACATAATAAAAATAATTTTCAAATGTTTATTAACACTTTTGTAAGTTTGAACTTGGAACTGACAATCAGAACAGCTATAACTTTTTTTGTTTTGTAAAAATAACATTTTTTTTATATAAATAAGGGATTTTCCCTTTAAAGAATCTACAAAGACTATATTTTCTTTAAGTGTTTAAGCCATTTCTTGGTCTCGCCGGGAAGAGAAGAACAGTTATTTCAGCAGAGCCAGCAAAAAAGTGCCGAAAGAGCCAAGAGAAGGAAGTGGAGATTTGGGCTATGGAGTTGGAGATGGGGAAATCCGAAATACGTGCAATTGCTGAAAATATGCTCGACGTGAGGGGCAAGGCAAACGTGCGGGCCAAGCGTCCGTGGGCCTTAAATACTTGCCACCAATGCTTGCCACTCCCCCTCAAATCCCCCCTCCCCTTCCAAAACCAAAATCCAACTAAGCAGCAGCTACCACGTTTGCTACTCCTATTACCCTCAATCATTTATCATCTGGGCTGCAATTAATCATCAAATGCGCGCTCTCGCATTCGCACCCACCCCAAAACGACGAGTCCTTTTATAGTTTTTGTGGGTTGCCCTCTGGATTTATGCTTATAATGTGGAATGCCAGTGTATGTTTATCTGGGACCCGGAGTTGGGGAAGGGGGGGTGTGCGTCCTCTGCTACAATAGATGCTCGTATTCGCAT